AAAATAAATAAAAAAACAAGCTAAATAAATTAGCCCAAATATATAAACACATAAACGACTTCCGGCAAAATAACCACCAAAATAGACTACCCATAATGCAGCACTATAAATAGCCAAGAAAAAAAACAACACTGGTGGCCCGACGATTGCATCTAGGATGAAACAGCCTGTCAAGTGTTGACTTCAATGTTCACTTTTATATTTGCACAAGCTCTATATCTGATATTGAGCACTTTATCCCATAAATATAGCACACCTTAAGACTATATATATATATATATATGAGAAAATAAATCGTATAAACGAAAGTACAAAAAAAGAACAATTTGTTCGTTACACAACTACATAAATATACCGAGAGTAAACAAGAGATACCAACTACGTACAATTAGTTATTGGAACAAGGATATAAATATGAAGTCAGTGACACTTCTTCGTCAACACTGATAACTGATAGAGCAGCTAATTTGCAGCGATTGCCTGGCAGGAAATATAGATATATGACAGTGGGTTGCTTTTGTATTTATACAACACATTTCGATGTCTGACGTAGAAATGAGATGGTCAGAAGGGCACAGCCATAATGATTGTTGATGGACAGTGCGCAGAAGTGTCAAGATTCATAGCTTTCTAGGTGTCTTTCGAAAATGTGAGAAAATAAGAAGAGCAAATTAGCGTTTGACTGTGTTGGCTTACTGAACTGACAGTTTTGGTCACCTTGCAATTGACAACTCCTCCATCCACACACACACACACACATACACACACACACACACACACACACACATATATATATATATATATATATATATATATATATATATATATATGAGATAAGATTAAAGAGTGCCTTGAGGGAAAGGTCATACACAGTTAATTTGAACCGTGGCCCTTTTACCATTCCTCTTGGATCTTCTATTATCACAGTGTGAGATATCTAATACCATATTCCATTGAATTATTCAGACAAGTTTTATCTACTTTCAATAGGATTCTAGCATATTCACGGACAAACTCTTTAACATCATTATTAGCGTTTTACACTTCACAGAAAAAATAATTAATTTTAGATGAACATTACAATTTTGTCTTAGAAAAAAAAACAACACACTGATGATGATATTTTGCTAATGTGGAAAGTACTCGGAATAAATGAATATATCTCACCATTATCTCTATTCCTTAGATAAGGATACTAAGAATCTTGTCCGTGAATATGAGAGGATTCTATTGAAAATAAGTAGACAAAACTAGTCTAAATTATTCAATGAGACATGTCTTAATGAAAATATGCTGCCAAAATATACGCAATATATATGATAGAAATTAGGAAGATTTGAGATAATTATAATTAAGTTATTCATCGAGTCTAAGAGCAAAAAAATCAACAGAATGAAGAAAGGGCTGGACAGTCCTATATTTGGGACTGATTAGCAGTGCGCATCCCTACCGAGAATTGAAACCTGGACAGTTACGTTATCAGGCAAACGTCATACCTGTTCCAACGGGCCTCGGTGAAGTTGAAGTAGAGAATCAGACTCGATATAGTGCCGCTCGATCACATATTCCGTGGTGGAACTCATCCGTGTTTTCCTTACCCATAGGATTGTGCCTCCATGAGCCACGACTACTATCCCCAAGCCACTCCATCCAGAGCATTAGAAGCCGGTTCAAGTAAGAATATACAAGTGATAGAAATTAGGAGGACTTGAGATAATTATAATTAAGTAATTCATCGAGTCAAGAAGAAACCTCAACAAAATGCAGAAAGCACTGCACGGCCGTTTTGTCATATATTTGGGACTCATCAGCTTTCCCTCAAGGCACTCTGTAATATATATATATATATATATATGTGTGTGTGTGTGTGTGTGTGTGTGTGTGTGTGCGTGTGTGTGTGTGTGTGAGGAGGTACCGAAAAGATACCAGTTCTGACCAAGAAGTATTTCCAAAGAAAATTTCCTTATTTGGTTAGATCTGGTGGAAGTGGATCAAACCGAGAACTTTTTAACGTACATCGTTGAAACCCAGGTAGTGCAGCATCAACATCAGTAACAGCAACATTAATAATATAAATTTATAGTAATAACTGCATTTCGATTTCTGTCACTTTCCCCACCGATGTGGCTTTGCTTTGTCTTTTCTATAAATATTTTCCTGGGAATCGTTCTAATGAGTTCTCCTCATTTGTACCTCAACGGCATGAATTTAAGTATACTACTTGATTGACAATGATGTCACATCATTTGACTGTTGAAATAGATATATGTAACCGTAATTCCTATTTTGTTAGTTTCCTTTCTTACAATTCGTGACGCTTCCAGATTTCCCTGCCACCTACGTTCTTCCAGAATTTCAACGCAACGTCAATCGAAATATTCTGTATTACTGAATTATGTTATTTTATTGTATTTTCTCCTCATTCTCTTTCACTTTCAGTAACACCTTGCGTCATAGTGGCGTTATTGCTTAAAAATAACATTCTTTCGGGAACCTTGCTTCAAAATCCTCGTACACGCCAATAGATCATTCTTCATTGGACTCTGTTTACTGACTGTTTGTTGGTTTGGATTTTTGCGATGTTGAGGCGACCTATCTCATATGTAGTATGCTCCAGTAACCACCATCTTGGCTGGACTTTTTGGCGTTTTGACCCAACCTACTTCGGCTTCAGGTCAAAGATTGTTTCTATCTTATTAGAAGTCTAAGCCTTCACTCGGACATTAAAACTGAAATATGGATATGCTTGCTTCATCGCTGGATGGTGCTGCTTTATTTTTCACAAAATGAAACAATTTGACATAAAAAAAAAATGATTCGCAGACATTGATGCGTTAAATACATCAATTCGACTGAAAACTTGCTTACATAACCTGAACAACTAAGAAGGCTAAATGAAAGAAACGAGAAATAGGTAAATTTAGAAAGGGCGGAGGCGAAAGAGTTAAAAAAAGAATGATATTAGTATAGACTCATAAAGCCTAATAATAAAGACTAAGTTCAAACGAGTCGTGAATTATGGATTTTTTTTTACTTATCATTACAACAAACTTTTGCATTAAATGATTTGCCTTTGAATCCAGAATTTTCTAGCTGAAAAGTTACAGTCTTGATCTTCGCCTCAAAGAGAAGTGAAGACTGCTGAAACAGCGACTATCAAACAGTGGGACCTTAGTAGTAGTAGTAGTAGAAGAAGAAGAAGAAGAAGAAGAAGAATGTGAAATCCCAAGAGAAGGCACTGGAATATTACCTTCCAACACAGCATTTCACAGAAAACCAAAACAAATTAAAGAACAAAGGAAAAATATGCAATATTGAATTTCATAGAATTATCTTTCTTTGAACTGGTGTTGCTTATACTAAGGTTACTAAACATGTTTTTTTTTTTTTTTTTTTTTGTCCTTTTAGTTGCCTGCTTTCAAAGAAATTCCATTTTGGTTTAACAGTGAAAACTATTCTCTTCGTGATCTGGGTTATTTCCCCGTTACCGACAAAGAAATTTTATAGTTGTTTTGGAAACCCAGTTTTTTCTCTTGAACATTAAGATGATTGGCTGTAAATGCTCTGAAATGCGGCTTTTAATTTGTGGCGTTTATTTCAAAATAAACAGTAAATAAAAGGACCCAGTTTACACACAAAACGCATACATAAAATATCACGTTGGAATTATTTTCCATGTGAAGAAATAAGGAAGGCCTTGATTTATTTCTGTTCTATTTTACCCACTGAAGATGTCATGTGCCATCTCTTGTTACTGATAACTATCGATCTCTAGATTCTAGTCTATTTCTTTCTTTCTTTCTTTTTTTCTTTCTTTCTTTCTTTCTATTCTAAACTTGTGTTCCCATATTCGTTTTTGTGAGTCCTGTGCATTACAATAAACTGCATTATGCAAGGCCTCTAATAGGGTGATCGGAGGATTTGAAGAGCGTGGAACCACCTCTTAGTTTCTGTTGTCCCCAGGTCCTCGTTGACCCGGTGTGGTAGCACCTGTTAAAGCCCGAAATATGGGCAAATAGTGAAATCCCAAAATTTATGAAAACATAAAACATACAATATATAACAAAAATACTAGCAATATATTTTATATATTAAAATTAGCAAAAATACATATTTATATTGAAATTAGCAACAATACCTGTTTTTAGTAAAATGACACACAATACATTTCATCTTTAATACAAAAGCATACATTAGCGTTCAAATATATTTAGTTAAAGCCATAAAATTCTGTTGAAATATTTAGATTTAGATTCCGGCAATAAATAACCCATAGAGTTTGAAATACGCTTAAACAAAATCCAGCAAGCAGCATGAAAGAATTATTTCATAAATACCTTCGACAGACAAGGCAAATCTCTTTGCCTTGATCTTTGCCTCTAACTCAACGCCAGACGATAATGACCATCCAAACTCCCACGTCTCACTGGTCCCCATCTCATTAATATAACCATTACAACATGAGAAGTCTCTAGACTTAACAAAGGCCTTGACCATAAGAAAGCCACTGGTACAGACAAAATTCCAATGGTTGTCCTTAGGAACGTCAACCTGGAATTATCCTCTACAGATAAGACGAACCTCTTCACCTCCATCTTTGCCTCTAACTCAACATTAGATGACAAATTCCATCCCTTCCCAACTCCCCACGTCTCACTGAGAACAATCTCGGTAATATTACCAATACAGCATGAGAAATCTCTAGACTTAACAAGAGCCTTGACCTTAAGAAAGCTAATGTTACAGACAAAATTGCAACATGGAATTATCCCCGATCCTAGTGAAGTTCTTCAATCGTTGCTTCAAGCCTGTGGAAAGGGTCAAGCGTATACCCGGTTTTCATGGAGGATGTTTTCCCCGATCACCTTAATCTTGTTCAAATCTACGGTTAACTGTTACCTTCCTCTCGTTTCCATCCAAACTGCCTCCTAACGTAACCCCCTATCTCTTTTGGCCTACGGGCCTAGTACAGGGTGAAACTTTCTGTAAAAAATATGAAGATGTGCAAGATCAAAGAATTACTTACTTTCGACCAATCATATGTAATCCATTTAAAACAATCGCTCCGACATTTTCGTATTTTTTCTGGTCGTTTCAAATTGGCCTTTTTACACACAACTGGCGGTAACTCCACGATATATTGACTGGTAATGATTTCATAGGACACGTTACGTTCCTGGCATCCATATCTTTTGCAAATCAGTTGTTAAGGCGATCAATCCGGAATTATCCCTGATTCTAGCGAAGTTATTCAACGGCTGCTTGAAGTAGAAATCAATTCCAAGTCTGTGGAAGGAGGCAAGCACATGTCCGGGTTTTCAAGAAAGCAGACGTGCGATCCCCACCTACAAGTCAGTTTCCTCAGTAAGCTTTTTGAGGCCATAATCAATAAGGAGATCGTCGAGCAGCTAGAAAGAACAACTTCTTCGTCGATGAACTGTATGGGTCTCGATCGGCCCGATCCACTGCCAACGTCCTAACTACCATCACTCACAGAATCAGTGAAGATCTTGACGAAAATCACAGCTCGATGACAATAGCATTATTATCTCAAATACCTTCAACAAGGTGTGACACACAAGTGCTACAATATAAGCTCTCCAATTATGGAATCACTTGAAGAGTAATCCGACAAACTTTCGTAGCAGACGATAAACATTTTTGTTTGCAAATTCTACAAACAAAAACGTAACACTACACCGCGTTTTATATGACGTCAGTGATTGGTTAACATATACGAATATAGAAATTCAAATCTGGGGCCTACAAAATGTATAAAACTGAGTCGATTTTCGTATAGTAACAAAAAAAGTTTTCGGTGACAGTACTTAAATCTATAACATTTTTCTACACTCTGTAACGGGGTTATATCACTATGCCACCTAGAGTCTTCAAGGGGACCACCTTTTGCATCATAAAAACACATTTGGTATCAATTTCCTATATGACTACTGAATTTAGGATTTTGTGTGTTTTAGTGATGATGGATGCTTCCGGGTCATGGAAAAGAAACTTTTGTATTTGGGATAAAGTGATACATCACTTCACTTAGGATCATATGTATCAGAACGTCTCAGTCGGTTTCTCTGTACCTTACTAAATGCTGAAAAGAAATCTTCATGTTTTGCCATTTGTTCTTTAATGAATTGTTTCGGGATCGAAAGCTGAAATTTTGGGTTTCGTATGACAAAATCTTCTTACAATTTGCATTTCTATGTTTTTCCCCCGTTTTATTGTAGCAGTATTTTTTGTTGTGAACTCAAATACGCATGTGCCCAATATTACGCCTGTTCTGGCTGTTACAACAAGTACATGTTCCATGTCGTTTTCAGTTTACAGCTTTCACAACGTTTCAAACCCGATCGATTTATAACTATTTTTCGGGATATCACTCGTAATTCTAAGAGAGAGAGAGAGAGAGAGCTAGAGAGAGACAGACAGACAGAGAAAATTTGATATATACATTTAATTCGGTACGTTTAGTAACTATCAATCTATCTATCTACCCCAGTCTATCTATTTATCTATCTATCTATCTATCTATCTATCTATCTATCTATCTATCTATCTCGATTTTTGACATAACAACAAAGAACTTAGAAGCAGTAAATATTTTCAAAGCACTTACGAAATATTGATTTGCTACAAAACACTAAAATCATTTTAGATCCCATGCCGCTGGGAATTGCCCCCAAAGTCCATGCGAATGTGTAAACACACACACACACACAAAACAAAATTGAAATCTGTTACAATAGTGTGAACTCCTTAAAAACGTCCGTCAGTATTGAAACCGAATTGATCTTCTTGTAAAAGTTCAAATTTTGCTTCTTTCTTATTTTTTTATTTCAGCTCTTTACAGAATTTTTCTATTATGTTGTACTTCGAACTGCAAAGTATGGTAGCACATAAGGATAACAAAACCGGATCTATGAAATATCGATATATTGTTTGAAAGAATAACATACAGTTAATCATTTGGTTATGTCTTTATCACGTCTACCATGATAATAGTGTTTGGCAATCAGAATTACCAGAGAATTGTAGTGCTAATATGTACAGTAAAGATTAAAAAAAAATTCCATAATCTCTATCTATTCGTTGACAGGTGTATTAATTGCCAGTTATCTGAGAAGCAGAATTTGTCATGAATTACAATGGCTAAATCAGCCATTTTGCTGGAAAGATAAAGTAATGGGTATATATTGGATTTTCTTTGTTTAAAGCCCTGACGTACTCGTGCCAAAACCAAAGACAATGTAATAAAAAAAACAGATTACAAGGCAAATATCAGATAGACGTAGATTTATACCTATCACAAATTATATCTACATTCGCGAGAATTCGAATACGGTGTGTAGATTTTGTCATCCGAACTTTAGGATTGGCTGACTGATTTATTTATTTATAGTTTTCTTCATATTTTTCTTCATTTCATTTATTCTTTTTTTTTTTACTTTCTCATTGTCTGCGTCCCGGGGATGACGATGAACTACATCCGGAAGCAAGTCCTCTGAGGTTTTGAAGAGCGTAGAATCACCTCTTAATTGCAAGTGTTCCCATGTCAACCCTGACATAGGGTGGATATTACATGTTAGGGTCCCAAATGGGCAAATCGTTAACCTCCCAAACTGGGGTCAGAACACTATGAAAATGTTAGAATAGGTTTTAATACTAGCAATACATTTTTGGAAAAAATATTACCAGCAATAAAAATTTTGTCGTCATTAAATAACCAATTGAGATTGATATTCCGTAAACCAAACCAAACGAACCCATCCTCATTTTCTTCTTTTCTGCCTATTTTCTGTCTTCTTTTTTCTTTCTGTTCATCCTTATTTTTTTTTATCTTTCTAATTTTCTTCTTTTCATTTATTCTTTTTACCCAAGTTCTTCTTATCTGCCTGTTTTCCGTCTTCTTTCTTTCTTTATACTTTTTCTTCATTCCTTATATTCATTATTATTTCCTCTTGTCTTTTTCAGACTATTTTCCTTTTTCTTTATTTTTTCTTTCTTTCTCGCTACCTTAATTTCTTGTATTCTATTTTCCTTCTTCCTTTCTTCCTTTTTGGCCTATTTTCCCTTCTCTTTCTTTCTTTCTTTCTTTCTTTTTTCTTTCTTTCTCGCTACCTTAATTTCTTGTATTCTATGTTCTTTCTTCCTTTCTTCCTTTTTGGCCTATTTTCCCTTCTCTTTCTTTCTTTCTTTCTTTCTTTTTTCTTTCTTTCTCGCTACCTTAATTTCTTGTATTCTATTTTCTTTCTTTCTTTTTGGCCTATTTTCCCTTCTCTTTCTTTCTTTCTTTCTTTCTTTTTTCTTTCTTTCTCGCTACCTTAATTTCTTGTATTCTATTTTCTTTCTTCCTTTCTTCCTTTTTGGTCTATTTTCTCTTCTCTTTCTTTCTTTCTTTCTTTCTTTCTTTCTTTCTTTCTTTCTTTTTTCTTTCTTTCTCGCTACCTTAATTTCTTGTATTCTATTTTTTTTCTTCCTTCCTTCCTTTTTGGCCTATTTTCCCTTCTCTTTCTTTCTTTCTTTCTTTCTTTCTTTCTTTCTTTCTTTTTTCTTTCTTTCTCGCTACCTTAATTTCTTGTATTCTATTTTCTTTCTATCTCGCTACCTTAATTTCTTGTATTCTATTTTCTTTCTTCCTTTCTTCCTTTTTGGCCTATTTTCCCTTCTCTTTCTTTCTTTCTTTTTTCTTTCTTTCTCGCTACCTTAATTTCTTGTATTCTATTTTCTTTCTTCCTTCCTTCCTTTTTGGCCTATTTTCCCTTCTCTTTCTTTCTTTCTTTCTTTCTTTTTTCTTTCTTTCTCGCTACCTTAATTTCTTGTATTCTATTTTATTTCTTCCTTCCTTCCTTTTTGGCCCATTTTCCCTTCTCTTTCTTTCTTTCTTTCTTTCTTTCTTTTTTCTTTCTTTCTCGCTACCTTAATTTCTTGTATTCTATTTTCTTTCTTCCTTTCTTCCTTTTTGGCCTATTTTCCCTTCCCTTTCTTTCTTTCTTTCTTTCTTTCTTTTTTCTTTCTTTCTCGCTACCTTAATTTCTTGTATTCTATTTTCTTTCTTCCTTCCTTCCTTTTTGGCCTATTTTCCCTTCTCTTTCTTTCTTTCTTTCTTCCTTTCTTTTTTTTTTCTTTCTTTCTCCCTACCTTACTTTCTTGTATTCTATTTTCTTTCTTCCTTCCTTCCTTTTTGGCCTATTTTCCCTTCTCTTTCTTTCTTTCTTTCTTTCTTTCTTTTTTCTTTTTTTCTCCTTCCTTAATTTCTTGTATTCTATTTTCTTTCTTTCTCGCTTTGCCTTAATTTCTTGTATTCTATTTTCTTTCTTCCTTTCTTCCTTTTTGCCTATTTTCCTTCTCTTTCTTTCTTTCTTTCTTTCTTTCTTTTTTCTTTCTTTCTCGCTACCTTAATTTCTTGTATTCTATTTTCTTTCTTTCTCGCTACCTTAATTTCTTGTATTCTATTTTCTTTCTTCCTTTCTTCCTTTTTGGCCTATTTTCCCTTCCCTTTCTTTCTTTCTTTCTTTCTTTCTTTTTTCTTTCTTTCTCGCTACCTTAATTTCTTGTATTCTATTTTCTTTCTTCCTTTCTTCTTTTTTGGCCTATTTTCCCTTCTCTTTCTGTCTTTCTTTCTTCCTTTCTTTCTTTTTTCTTTCTTTCTCGCTGCCTTAATTTCTTGTATTCTATTTTCTTTCTTCCTTTCTTCTGTTTCTGCCTATTTTCCCTTCTCTTTCTTCCTTTCTTTCTTTCTTTCTTTCTTGCTTGCTTCATGCCTTTCTTTGTTTCCTTTCTTTATTTATCTTTTTACTTTTCTTAATTTCTTGTATTCTTTCTTCTTTCCCCACTTTCTTTTCTTCATATTTCTCTTTCCTTTTTTTTTCTTATTTCTTTTATCTTTCTAGTTTACTTTATTTCCAGTATTTTTTCTCCATTTTTTCTTTGCCTATTTTCCGTCTTCTTTGCTTCTTTTCTATCTTTTCCGCTTGCTGAAAGATGTCGCCTCAAATTTCCCTTTTCCATTCCTTTTCATCATTGTCAAGTTCAGTATCAGATCAGGATGCATGCGGATATTATTTGAATGAACAGAATGGATAGAAATACTGTAACTGTCATAGATTTTTTACCCGATCCCTGCTGTTTTTTAACGGCCATAAGCTGACGGTCTGAATAGTTAAAAATAAGATGAATGGATGTATCAGCCGGTGGATGCCGTGGTATTTATCGGTTTGTCGGAATGATAAAACAGACGTCGCTAAAGTAAGGATTTAAAAACAGTGTACTTTTTTTCTTAACAAATTGAGTATTTCGAAAGTGGGTATTATCTAGAACATTCTAGCTGCTTCGTGGATCTAAATAGATTTGTCCTGTTGGTATATTAATGATTACTTTTCCGTCATTCCTTTTATTTTGTTTCTATAGAATCTGGATGAATTCTACGTACAAATATTTTTTCGACCAGAGGTAGCTAAGCTGCGGCTCTCGAGCCATATGCGGCTCTTTAACTTTTAATATGCGGCTCGTGGAAATATGTTGACTGACTTCCTTTTTTCATTACAGTTAATATAAAAGGTAAATAAGAAAAAATTTAAGATTTATAATTATTTACTAGGTACGAATTGAGACCTCATTGGATTAAAGTGTATGTTTAATGTTCATGGTTAGTAAACATACCTAAGAATTTAAATCCTAATGCTATATCTGAATGAGACATTGTTCTTTAATGCTGATGGAAGTAATGGTGGGAGGCAGAGGGATTAAAGAACTTTTTGGTCAGCAAGGTTTACAGAGAAATATCAGAAGACTGGGGTTAAAAAAAACCTGTTTATATTTCACTATTTTTCGCGACTAGGAGTCTCATGTGGACGCGCGGTTTATTTATGGGCAGTGACGCAATCGTCAGGTGGTGGAAAAGGACAGAAAACTCAGTTCTAATTTAGAATTTTCCGTTCCTTTCAAAGAGAGTGAAACATAATTATTTGATATTTTGCATTCAGCTGTGTGTAAACATTTCAGAGAGACCATATTTGTAACAGGAAAATATGGATAACGCTCATTATGTATATCTACTTTTATAAGCACTGTGTTTTGTACTGTCCTTTTATATATACCACACACACACACACACACATATATATATATATATATATATATATATATATATATATATATATATATATATATATATATATATGATTCATAGACACTAGGGTCTAATAATGTAAGGACCAAGGAGACAGTTTTTTGCTTAAAAAGAGACGGCTCCCTTGGTCTTCATATATATATATACTAGCAGGATTACCCGACGTTGCCTGGGTTTATTCAAAAAAAAGATCACGAACCTCATCCAATCTGTAAAGTTAAAATAAAGAAGATTTTTCTTTAGTGCCTCTTATTTATATGGCGAAAAATTATAATGACATGAAGTGTGAAAACATTGAAACAGGAGAAAGTACATTAATTGCAATCGATCTTCGAAAACTGTTGAGGAGAAATGCTTTGTTGACAGCTTTTGCTCAAACTACATCGAATAAACAACATGCATTGGAAGGAGAAGAAATTCAACAAAGACTTCTACGAGCAGCTGTGCCAAGTCTGAAAAGCAACGTTCACAAAGATTGTATAGAATTGTTCTTTGCCCTTAAGTTTCGACAGCTTGAGAAGCAGAAGTTCTGATAATCGTTTTTGATACATTTTAAGATTGTAACATACATGTAAAATTCCGTCGAAATCGAAACAATTTGAAACTTTGCGGGTCCCTTTGGTTCACTCTAGGGGTCCCAAATTTCAAGCCAAAAGCCAGGTTTATGTCTAATAGTAATTGAAATAATAAAGCACATCTTTTTTAAGTTTTCTATTTAATCGACTTTATGGCCAAGACTTAATTGAACATTTCGGGTTTCCTTTCTGGTCCCCTAACTCGTGGGGGTCCCAGTGTTGATTTTCTGCGAATTCCAAGTGACTATTTCAGTTACTCGATATAATCTCAATATGTACTGAAATTTTCGTTGAAATTGGGGAATACTGTTACACAATACACTTGAAAAGCAATTGAGGCATCAAGGGGTTTACAGGGTCATCCTGGGGGCCCCCTCATGCATTTTTAAAAATCTGACAACCGATTTCTATCTCATTGTAAGAGCGTAACAAACATGAAAAATTTCATCAAAATCGAAACAATTTGAATTTTTTTAAGTCCTTTTGGGGCACCCTGGGGATCCCAGTGTCGAGAGAAATGAAAATCAATATAGCGTATAATAAGCGTGACAGTAAGTTGCATACACTTATCAAGTTTCATTAAAATCTGCCTTAGGGTTTAGACCTCAAGTCTGAAAATTCCCATTTAAACATTATATTTATCGATTATCGGTTATTGATTTTTGGAAAATAACTAATTTTTTTACCCAGACATATCCAGTATCGAGTACAATCTATGTTCCAAATTTGGTGGAAATATGCCTCATGGTTCTCGAGTAGTTCAACACACACACACACAGAGTCAGTTATACATACATATATATATATATATATATATATATATATATAAATATATATATATATATATATATATATATATATATATATAAAAAAATTCGATAATGTATGTATTAACAAAACAAAAGTATACATAGACAACAGAATATTGTTGCATGTTACAAAACAATGAACATGAATGAAAACATTTAAAAACTAAAGAATGAGCTTGTGTCTGTGTGTGTGTGCCTTTGTCTGTGTAGTTTGGCTTAAGAGAAACTCCCAGGAAAAATGAAGTGAAAGGTGCGTGCGTGCGTGCGTGCGTGCGTGCAGTGCGTTCCCTAGTGGGAAAGGGTTTTCCTCGTTCGACCTACATCATACCGATGACAGAAAATGGCACTGTCAATTTATAAAGCTTAAAGTGCGTCCTCTAGCGACGCTTTTTAGGAAAATAAGTTGGGTAACTACAAACACACACATACATATATATATATATATATATATATATATATATATATATATATATATATATATATATATATATATATATATTCACTAGTTTCAATTATCTTAATTTTAGATTTTATTATTCATATAATTCAATGCCAAATCGAAGAACTAGCGATTGCATTTTAGTTTTCTTCAGAAACACAATAAAATCTTTATAAGGATATTAACTACAAAATGACGTTTTCAGTATTACAATTACCGCCTTGCTCGTTTGATATTATCCTCAAGAATTTGGTCCATGTCTCTTGGCAAATATCACAAGTGGGGTTTCTTCTGATCATCAAAATCGACAGCGAAAGACACACGAGTCACGGATGACCGGTCAGCAACTAAAGTGGCATTCGTCAAAAGTGGATTGAAACCACCCACTTCTGTTGTTGTTGTTGTTGTTCGATTCTTTTCAAGTTAGTATTATTCATTTCGATAACAGGGAACACAAGCGTGGAAATATGGAAAATATCTCAGAGCAATATCGACACTGGAAAGGTCAATAAAATGTTTCCTGTTTATCTAGCTCGATGTTTACTTTGAGATTATAGTGGATTGGTATTGAGCAATTACATTACGCCGAGCAATTTCTCTTTTCAAGTGACTGATTTTAGAAATATCTGGAGCGTAATCTTCGACTGCCTAGCGTAATCACTTCTATATATAGAGGAAAGGATGCGAGAGATATTTCTGTTTTCAGCTCTTATAAATACATATAACAATATATATATACATAGGTACCTCCACGAG